AGGACAGGACCCCCAGAGGGGTCAGCAAGGGAGACTGCAACCGGCCGGTCGAGCGGCGTAAGGGTAGTGCGGTCTCGAAAGAAGGAGCGAGAAGCCCCGGAGTCAAGTGTGAAAGTGAGGGAGGACGAGGACGACGCAGTACCTGAGAGCGCAGTCTCACCAGTACCTGAGAGCGCAGACGCACTGGCACCTAGAGCAGCAGCCTCACAAGCACCTAGCGCAGCAGTACCAATGCCCGGGTCGGGCTGGAAACACCGGTAACCCTCATTCTCCTCACTATAAGTCACAGCATACATAGCAGCAAGGATAGCATCAAAATCAAGATCAAAGATCGCTACACCAGCCCTAAGAAGCTCATCCCAGCGAGGGATCTCAGTAGCCCCAGGGAACTGCTGACGCCAAGCGTCCGTCAGGCGGCCAAAGCAGCGCTGGGCAGCGTGGGCACCCCCACACTGCTCACTCGCGCGGTCGCCGGAACGAAGAACGTAGGTGCAGGGACCAGGACCCCCACCCCTCTGACGCCCAGCGTACCACTCACGAAGCTGCTGAGGCGAAGGGATGTCCCGCGAGCGCTGCTGCTGCTGCCGCTGCGAGCGCTGGCCACCACCACCGCCGCTACGCTGCTGGGTACCACCCCGACCAGCTCCACCTCCTCCACCACCACTGCCTCCTCCGCTGCCGCCTCCACCGCCTCCACCTCCGCCGCCTCCACCTCCGCCGCTGCCTTCACCACCACCGCTGGCACCACTACCACCGTCTCCGCCGCTGCTGCCACCACCACCACCACCACCCCCGCCACTAGTCCCGCCGCCACCCCCACTCCCTCCGCCGCCACCGCCGCCACCACCACCGCCCCCTCCAGCTCCACCCGCGCCCTTGCCCCCCTTGCCCTTGCTGGAGCGACGTCTCCCACTAGGGGCAGACGCCGCGCCGACCGACTCAAGACCAAGCAGGTCGGCAGCAGCAGCAGAGGCAACAGAGGGCAGCAAGGGGGAAGGAGAGCACCCCTCAAAGATGGGGGTGCGAGGGTCACCACGAGAAGCAGCTACAGCGACTATGCTCTTCTCCGCTGCGAGGAGGGCCTTCTCGAGGAGGTCGACGGTGAGGGTGGTGGGACAGACTGCGAGAAAGTGGTCCCTGACGACGCGAAGGGAGTCAGGGAGGCGCGCGACTACGTAGTAGAGAGCGATGTACATGGGGGGTGGGTTCTTAGCGCAGAACTCAGCAGGAAGGGCGGCGCGGTAGCGAGTGTCACTAGTGCGGAGGTGCGTAATGAGATCAGCGACAGTGGGAAAGGCAGAGAGGTCAGGAAAGAGGTAGGGAAGCATGAGACGGCTCAGTGCAGCAGTGGCAGGGGAGGAGTAGCGCGCAACTACAGCGTCGTACAAGGTCTGAGCACTCTTGTACTGACTAAAGTGCGCACGCTCAGAGGTAGGGAGGTGGCGACGCACAGCAAGACGTGCAGCAGCATCGCGAGTGGCCCACTGAGAGCGGACAGTGGGATCAGCATCAGCAGCAGGAGCAGGAGAGGCGCCAGAGGTGAGGTCAAAGAGAGAAAGGCCGTCAGCCCTGTCGCACTGTAAGAACAGCTGCAGGTCGTCTAACCAGACCTCAAAATCAATGGCGCGACCCTCAGCGTCAAAAGCTAGGACACTAGGGGTAGCCATGACGACGACAGCGAAGCAGTGCAAGCAGTAGGGGAAGAGCACGCAGTGACAGTGCGACTGTGCTCACCAGGCAGGGCAGGCCGGGAAACTCTGCAGAAGGGCGGCTCGGCGACTCAGCGACTCGGCTGCTGGGCGGCTCGGCTCCCGGGCGGCTCGGCGGCAGGGCGGCTCGGGTGCAGGGCGGCTCGACGCCCGGGCGGCTCGGCGGCAGGGCGGCTCGGGTGCAGGGCGGCTCGGCTCCCGGGCTGCTCGGCGGCAGAGCGGCTCGGGTGCAGGGCGGCTCGGCTCCCGGGCGGCTCGGCGGCAGGGCGGCTCGGGTGCAGGACGGGGCCGGGACAGGGGACGGCGGGGCCGTCAGGGTGCAGCGGCGGGGCCGGCAGGGTGCAGCGGCGGGGCCGTGACAGGGGACGGCGGGGCCGTCAGGGTGCAGCGGCGGGGCCGGCAGGGTGCAGCGGCGGGGCCGGGACAGGGGACGGCGGGGCCGTCAGGGTGCAGCGGCGGGGCCGTCAGGGTGCAGCGGCGGGGCCGGCAGGGTGCAGCGGCGGGGCCGGGACAGGGGACGGCGGGGCCGTCAGGGTGCAGCGGCGGGGCCGACTGGTGCAGTGGCGGGGCCGTCAGGGTGCAGCGGCGGGGCCGTGACAGGGGACGGCAGGGCCGTGACAGGGGACGGCGGGGCCTTTAGGGTGCAGCGGCGGGGCCGACAGAGGTGCAGCGGCGGGGCCGGGAGTAGGACGGCGGGGCCGTCAGGTGACGGGGCCCGCTGCAGCGACGAAGAGGCCGCGCGGCCGGCGTGAGGGCGGCGCGGCGCGGCAGAGCCGAGAGGGCGGCGCGGCGCGGCCGTAAGGCCATCGCGACGTGGGGCCCGGGCCGCGCGCGCGAAAAAAAAAAGGAGTCGCGCGCGCGACTCTCGGGGCGCCACAAGGGCAGCGCGACAAGCACTAGGGGGAGCGCGCCTCGGGGAGAATAGGGCGCGCTCCGGGCAGGAAAAAAAAATCGTGGGTGGGCCCTTAAAAAAACGGTCCTTAGGAGGGACCCGCTCTGATACCATGTGAAAAGAATGAACAGGAATGAAAATGACTAAGGAAAGATTGGGTACAAATACAACCCTAGAAACCCTGTACCCCATATGTGCTACCCCACTATAGCCTACAGCAAATATGTCATATAAATCTTACAACCCACCCCCCTGAGCGGCAGCTGCAGCAGCGGGAGACGGAGGAGGAGGAGGAGTAGTGGAACGGCGCACAGAAACTGCACCCCCATACCCCCACCCCCAAACCCTAATTCAGGAGAACGGGCAGCAGCAGGGGTGGGGCACCGTCAGAAGCACGGGGGACAGCGGGCAGCTCAGGGGCAGAGAGGAACGGGCCGCCCACGGGCCTGGCACAGCCAGACGAACCGCGCGCAGGCGGCCCGAGCCGCGCGCGGGCTTGGCGCAGCCCGTACGGGCCGCGCTCGGGGCTAGCGCAGCCCGCACTGGCCGGGACGGGCGACGAGGGACGACGGGCTGGTCCCCGTCGCCCGTCAAAGCGCCCCCCGGGGGCGCCGCGCGGACCGACGGGGCAGAAAGCCGCCGCGCGCCTCGGGGCGCACGGCGGGCAGAGAACCGCCGCACGCCCCGGGGCGCACGGCGGGCAGAAAACTGCCGCGCGCCTCGGGGCGCACGGCGGGCAGAAAACCGCCGCACGCTCCGAGCGCGCGGCGGGAAGAAAAATCCGTCGCACGCCACGGGGCGTGCAAAACAGAGAGTAGCAGCGGAAGCAGTTAGGTGGGCCTACAGGCCAGGAGCGTAGATGCTCTGATAGCATGTTACAAGAGTAAGCATAGTGAGGAGCCATAGCTAGGGTTTAGCTAGCTGGGCAAGAGAGAAATGAACAAAAGAGGGATTTCACTAGCAGCAGTTGTGATACATATAGCAAACCCTAACAGGGTTGTACTCGCTATAGAGCACCCCTCTACATGCTAGATAATAACATTCTGACAGAAGTTCGTGTAATCGGCGACGTGAAGAAGCTTGAAACGATTGTTGACGAGCATGAGTGCCTCCTCGAGAAGTTTGATGGCACTCGCCGGTTCGTTGAGTCGCACCTTGTGTTCCGCGTGCATCAGGTAAGCGCGCAGGTCCTCGAGGAGCTCGGCTTGCTCACGGACAGCCGCGTTCTTGAATGAGGATGCGGTGAGGTTGGGGTTGGAGGTGGGAAGAGGGAGAAGGTGCTCGGTGGTCGAAAAAAATGCATTATCAGCAGGTGCCTCACCAGCTTCGTCGTCTGAAGTGTCGCTGTCGGCGGGATTTTCCGGTCCCGAGGTAGCCTTGACAGTGGCGCCCTCGGTGCGTGCGATTTTTGCCGTGCGAGCGCGTTGCACCGTCTCCCTTTTTTCCTTAGCGCTTTTAGCAGAAATTGAAGTAACGTTTGGTGTAGCGGTTGCTTCCGTAACGGCGGGGACTTGCTGTTGTAAGAGGGACAACAGCTGCTGCAGCTGGGCCGAGGTGAAGACGGGCGAGGCCACAGGCGCGTCAGGGGCCTGAGGCGCGTCAGGGCCCACGTGCGCCTCAGGCCTCGCGTCAGGCGTGTGTGCCTGCCTGCGGCGCTGACGCTGCCGGGGGGTGCCGGTCGCGCTGGCCGGCGTTAATTTGGCACCCTCGGCGGTGGCCGGCGCCTCAGGCCCTTCAGGGGCCACGTGCGCTCGAGGCCCCCCAGGGGCGCGTGTCCCAGCGAGGTCGGCCTCGCGCAGCAGGACTTCGATAGCGGTCGGGGTCGACTCCTCGTCGTCTGCCCGACACTTGTTACGACGCTCGCCCGCGGGATCGCGAGTAAAATTTCCGTCGTCGGGACGAATTGGGGCGTTGGCGTTGTCACCGTTGTCGCCGTTAAGTGCCATTGTAGCCGCGTTGTGAGCGAAAATATCTGAAAGGAGTGTCGACGGAGACTGAAAGCGAGGTAGTGATTTCAACTTCGCCAGCTTGAAATTGGGAAATCGAAACTTGACTAAACCGTTTGAAAAATGAGAGACGTGGGTGGAGGGAAATGACCTCCAGCCCACGTTTTGCACTCCAAAACGGGCGTTTAGCGCGGTTCGCCGATGACCAATGCTACATAACAAGCCACTTCACTTTCAAAATACACAATTTTGAAAAGCGTTACAGCTTTTAAAAATATTCATGTCTTGAATATTTGAGATGGGAGAGATAGAGCGGCTGATGGCTTTTGAAGAAATCTTGAATGTGAGATCATCACCTTAACAAATATCATAGCTCTAGAGCTAGAACTCATACTAAGAAAAGAACCTAAAGGATGGTACCCTACCTTGTACCGATCAAAACTGATTTGCCACTCAGTGGCTCTGTGCCAAAATGAGCAGCAGATCGTTATCAGTAATTGCTCCCCCCTGTTCCATCACTGCCTCCAAAGGTGTTTGCCCATACGAGTCTCTTAGAGAAACACTTGCCCCCCTGCAAGCACACATGAAACGCAGAAGTTAAGGGACAGTGCAGGCTGACAAGAACACTGGCAGTGAACATTGCTGAGAAGTTAGAAGGCAGATGGGAGGGCAGTGAGCCTAACCTGGCTATCAACTGCTTGGCACAGGCAGAGACACCAAGCAAGAGGCACCAATGCAGAGGTGTCCTCCCCATGGCATCCCGCGCATTCACATCAGCTGACTGCTGCAGCAACAGCTCCACTGCTGCTGTGTCCCCCCGGTAACATGCCACATGCAGCAGACAACACCCATATGACGCATCCTCTTGCTCCGTTTCCCCATGAGCCAGCACACCAGAGGAGGAACTAGCTAGCGTGGTGTCAGAAGCTGTACTGTCCCGGCTCTGCTCCGTGTGTGGCCCTCTTGTAGAGTTGGCAGCAAAAGAATGTGAGTTGCGTTGCTTGTGGCTGCTGGGAAGGTAGCAGCAGATGGAAGGGCCTCCATGACCTTCACTTGCTGCTTAGACCAAGGGATGAGGACGTAAGTATGAAGTTGAAAATCCAAGGTGTAAGAGGGTCGTGATAACAGTGTCTGAAGCGATATGTGAACGTTATGCTTTCAGGACAGAACGAACGCTAGTGGGAGAAAGGGTGAGACATGCAAGGGTCCAGTGTCTTTGCTCTCCCTTCATGCCACCATCTCACCTGCTCCTCCTTTCCTGCGTGTCATGTTGACATCCAGCCCAGCATTGAAGAGCATTCTTGCTGCCTGCTGCAAATCCCCATCCCACACCGACTGCCACAGTTGCTCCTCCCCTGCCTCCCTGCCACCGTACTGCTGCGTACCCGACACTAGGAACCTGCGCTCTACATACTGGAAGAGGGGAAAACGGATGGCGGTGGACAGAGTGAGCCAACTGTGGGATAAGCGACTTCATGTCGCATGGCACCATGGGGCCATGGAACATGCGCTTACAGCCAAACTAGAGACGCAAAAAAGGGCACGATTCAATGATGTAACCAGTCAATGAGATTTGCGGCGCAGAGACGCACCTTAGCCTGGATGAACCGCTCCTTTACAGCCACAGGATCGGCAGGGGACGGCTTCCCCGCTTCTGCTGCACACGAGGAGGAGGAGTTGGTGGCACCGAGGCTGACCGGTACTTGCGCTGCTGCACGCCCCGTGGCTTCTGCGGGTGTTTCCACGCTGGACTCTGCACTCTCGATTTGCTCCCCTGCCTCTGCCTCACATGCACTGCGGCGCGGCAATGTCTCCTCCCACACCGTGTTGGCAAACTCGTTCCCCAGTGCCTTGAAGAGTGCAATCACTGGCAGCTCCCACACCCGCACATCCAGTGTCAGCGACCGCACCTGTGGGCGAGAGGTGGGTGGGGGAGGGTTTGCAGAAAAAACGGAGCAAGGAAGGGAAGTCAGAAGGGACAACGTGAGAATAAGGTGGGGCTGAGGTGGAGGTATTTCCCACAAGTGACAGGAGAGTGACAAGCATTTTGTGTGTAAGCACACGCACCTTGCTGATATGCACGCCCAGGTTCCTATGCACGCCGGAGCACTCGATGCACATGAGCACACCCAGGTTGAGCGACGCCCAGTCAGGGTCAGGAGCCCCGCAGTCCACACAGCAGCGGTTGCCCGCCACGTGCGCCAGCAGCTGTAGAGGCCGGTCGACGTGTGCTGCTGCGGTGGCGCAGGAAGAGGATGTGTCCGTTGCAGAGCCGTCTGATGGGCGTGCGTGCTGCCATGAGGACGAGGGGTCGCTGGACAGGTGCGAGCTGCCTGTGGTGAGCGAGGAGGACGGCGCCTGGTGCGGACGGGAAGGGGAGAGGATGTGAGAGGCGAGAGAGGGGGAGAAGAGCGGGTGGAGTGGGGATGGAAAGCAGGAAGCCTGTGGGCATAAACGGGAGGATGCAACTTTGATAGGGCGATAACAGGTGATGTACCAAGGCTGCGGAAGGGGGTGAAGAGAGGGAGGGTGAAAAGTGCAAAGAGATGAGTGCGGTGCAGTGAGATGCAGGCAGGTGGTACCGGGTTGGAGAGCTGTTGGTTGAGCAGGGTGGCGATGACAGCGGTGATGGTGTCCATCCACTCGCTGCGCTCCGCTCCATTCTCCGCCTGCAGCGTGTACGTCTTCACCGGCGATATGATCCGGAAGCAGAACCGCAGATCCGACTGCTCCGCATCCATCTTGATGGTTGCTGTCAGCAGGTTCAGCACGTGATTCGACACCGACCCTCCCCCGCCGCCCCCGCCCCCTCCTCCCCCTCCATCATCCCCCCCGCCTCCCGCTTGGGAGATGGAGGGGGGCAGCGAGGAGACATAACCACCGAAGTCGCGGGGAGGGGAGGAGGCTGGGGTGGAGGAGTTGGAGTTGGAAGCAGAGTGGGAGGGGCGCAGGGAGAAGCCTCCTGCAGCGCCGCCCCCAAGAAAGGATTCCAGCGACAAGGGCGTGTCGCCTATTAGACTACCGAAGCTCGCCGATCGCACTCCCCCCTGCCCGCCGCCACTGCTGCTGCTGCTGCCCCCTGCGGCGCCAGCAGTGGGGCCGTCACGGTCGCGGGCGAGCATGCGGGAGAAGATGGAGAGGGGAGGCATGGCGGGGCTGGGGTTGGGGTCGGGCGTGGACGAGCGCGCATGCAGCAGACCCTGCAGCTGAAACATGCTCTGCTGGACGGAGGGGAGGGGAAGGGGGGGTTGAGGAGGGAGGGGGAATGAAGGAAGTTAAGCGTGTCGGAAGGGGGAATGTTACGATTCTACGGAGATTGGTGATAGAGCGTTTGACACAGCGACAAAGAGACAGCTCAAGAAGCAGGAAACGGTCATCGAATGCAACAAGATGTGAGGGGGCTGGTTTGGGCGTACGGAGGGTTTGGGCTGCTGCTTGCGGTAGTAGTAGAGCATGCCCCGTGAGTCCAGCACAAAGAAGCGCCGCTTCCAGTCCGCTCTCAGGTTGGAGGAGCGCTTGAGTAGATAGCCCTGCTTGATCACTTGCACCTGCTCTCACCCACTCATGCATTCCACACACACCGCATCACACGCACGCAGCAGCAACGATGCGTGCGGACACCACTGACATTAACACACGCTTCGGTGGGGCTTTACACATGCGCAAACTCACATGTGGCAGCTCTGATATGCACGTATATTGCCAAGAATGTATGTCCAAATCCAATTCACCTCCCTTCCCCTTCCCCACACCTTTCCCCACACCTTTCCCCACACCTTTCCCCACACCTAGCCTGCACCTTGCCCTTGGGAGTGGACGCCATGAGCTGCTCAATCGCCTTTTGCAGCGAGTTGCTGCCACCGGCCCCCAGCAGCGCCTGGTACGGCCCTCCCCCGCCACCCCCTCCGCCTATGCGCTCAGCGGCCTGGGCGCTCTCGTCCCCCCGGGCGAGCTCCATCTCCTTGTCGCGCTGGTACTCCCCCATGCGCTCCCCCAGCACCGCCTGCTCCTGGTTCCCGTGCTCCCGCGCCTGCTGCGCGTATGTCAGCACCTGGGAGGGGGAGCACGGGGGGATGGGCGCATGCGGATGGTGGTGGTGTCTTGTGGGAGTGGTAACTGCGTGCACATGTGCACATGTGAGCGATGCAATTGTTAGAGATGTGCGTGTGAGGTCTGTGATGGAAGTGCATGCGGGCAGGCATGCATACCTGATGGATGTATGGCTCCAGGGCATGCAGCACCTCGTAGCTCTGCCTCGCATGCCATGGCGCATGGGACAGGGGGAGGGTTGGAGAAGGGCGGGAGGGTGGGGGGAGGGAGAATTGGGAGTTAACAGGTCAAGCCAGAATGCACCTCTGAGGAAAGAGAGTGAGGCATCATAAGACAGGGCGAACAGAAGGTGTGTGGGGAGCGGGAGCGGGGGAGGGGGGGAGACGAATACTGTGTGTTGGCAGTGGCACATTGCATGCACCGCACGCAGATGTGCACAATCATAAGTGTGCAGTGCGCAACACACAAATGCATGCCCACAGGACTTAGTGGGAATATACGCTCAAACCCTAAAGCGTATAGCGTATACACGCTAGCGTGTGTACGCAAAACGCAATACGCTAGCTAATACGCTATACGCTATCAGAAAATTTTTCGGGCTGCCCAGGGAAAAAAATCGCTTGTATACAGAAAGATGCGGAATCTTCTGCTGAGCATTTCGCCTAAGTCGAAATGCAATTTGACGGTCTACTAGGGAAGCGGGAGTGGGCCTTCGAAGTTGCAGGCGGTTCAAATTTGAACATTAGATTGGTACCGCATTGGAACCCATATTATCTACGAATTCCAACCTGTCAAAAACGTCCCCCACCAAACCCCACTCACGCTACTTACCAGCCAGCAAAATTCCAGTCGTCATTTCTAGTTGGCATTCCCGCTGTCTAACAGCAGAGCTCCTTCCGATTCCTACCTACTTCTCCTTTTAGTGTCTACTCCACATCCCACCCCAATCGCCGTTCAGACTTAGGGAAATGCTGCGAAAGTCTAAATGAGAATAGGGATCACCTTCTTAATCTTGAGCACGACGTTTTTTTCACCCTGCCCGGGATAGTTTTTTACCTGCCCGAAAAAGCGTATTACCAAATCGAACCTTAAGCGTTTAGCGTATATACGATACGCGTATATACGCAATAAGCGTATATTCCCACTAAGCCACAGGCCACAGAGATGACAGGGAGTGGTGTGGAGTGGAGAGGCGCACCTGCTTGTAGAAGCGCAGGTGCGCATCCATGGTGGAGGCAATGGACTCTATGAACTCGTACTTCTTCCTCGAGTCTATGCTCGACAGCGCTGCCACCTACCATGCCATGCCATGCCATGCCATGCCATGCCACGCCATGTCATGCCATGCCATGCACGCCATGCCATGCATGCACCGTGTGCAGGGAGTGTGAGGAAGAAGCGGAAGGGGTGGGTAGGAGGGGCGGGGTCGTGAAACACAGGGAGAAGAGAGCTTGAGGCAAGGATCAAAATTACGGTTTTCGTAAAATACGGTCCGTTTTTTACCGTCGTTTTTTACGGTGATAAAAAAAAAACGGTCGTTTTCTGTTAGAGAACTCTGTTCACAAAAAAAAAAAAGAGAAAAACAAGGTCAAAAACATTTTCAATCATGCCAACAAGCGCATACATACAAGAAGGGGTCCGTCCCCTTCATGCTGCTGCATTTTGGGTTCAATTTGGTTCCACTAACTGGCCGTTTTGTTAGTTAAACGGGAAACACCTCCTGGAACCGTTTTAAACCGTTTTTTACGACCGTTTTTTATGATACCGTTTTTTACGGTAAATTTTCAAAAAATCGGTCGTTTTTTTTAACCCTGGCTTGAGGAGGTGTAAGTAGAGTCAACCATACCATGGAAAGGCATTTACTGCAGCCATCCCCCCAAACCCCCTCCCATCCCTGCGTTTTCCAGTAGTGCACACAGCCTGCACAGCTAGACTAGACGAGGTCCCTCTGGCAAGGCAGATTGCGTGGGCATGCAGCAGGCAGCAGACGGCAAGGAGGGGAGGCAGAGGGGGTGCAAGCAGGGCGGGTGGGCGTACGAGGGCAAATCGGGCCTTCTCGTAGTGCATCCTGGCGGTCTGAAAGTCGTCCTCCGCCTCCCCCATGACCTCCGCGCGCGTGTCCTTCTTCATTGACAGAAACCGCTCCCTCATCTGCCCCCCACACGCCATGGCGCACAGTGGGGTAGTGGGGGGGAGAGACGGGTGAGTGAAGGGGCGGAAAGGAGGAGCGGAGGGTATTGCAGGTGTGGGTGGAGAGGTAGTGAGAGTGGTGACACAGCATCAGCATGGAGTGAAAGCGAGGGATACAAGGGACAAGTAGATCTTAATGGCAGCAGCTAGGTCATTTGGCTGCCATGATGGTAAGAGCATGAGTCATTGCGGAAACCACAACACACCCTCACTCCCGCACCCTAACAACCTCCACACCCCCCCACCGTCACACCCCCACAACCCCATACACACCCACACAATCCCCTTCCCCCACCTTCCCCCCACACACACACACCTGGTCGTACTGCTGGCTGGCCTTGTCAAAGCGCTTGCGCACCTCCTGGCATAGAGAACACATGGAGCAAGAAACAGACAGAGGTTCATTCACATGGGTGAGATGAGTCCAGAAAGGCTGGGAGGAGGCAGTCGGGATGAGAGGAGGCGCGGACGGAAGGGTGGAAGGGGAACAAGCTGGTAACGACTGGGACAGCACGGGAGCGAGAGTGTTAGATAGGTTGCATGGGCGTGTGTGCCTGTGTGCATACTGAGCATGAGGTGCACAGGTGGCGGTGAGTGTGAGGGAGTGGAAGTATGTGTGCAGTGTATGCGGGGGAGTGGGTTGGCGTGTGGGTCAGTGGCAGCATGGCAACCTTGAGGTTGTGCAGGTCCGTGTCCTTGAACTTGGCCAGACGGTCTATCAGCATGTGCTCCACCTGCTCTCCCATGCACACACACATAGAAAACATCAACGAGAGACAGTGAGCGCGAGAGAAAGGAGGGAGTGAGAAAGTAAACGGGAGGGTGAGGTGAGTCGAGACGAAAAGAGAGGCGCGGGCGTGACAAACCTGTGATTTGAGGATATCCTTGTGCGACCTGAGCTCCTTTAGGGTGTCTATGAAGGGCGTCAGCACCGGCCCTGCCACAACACGAGTACCCCCACACACACACATGCAACATAAATCGCAAAGGAGCAGTTGACTCGTGCAGCAAGCCTCCCACGGTCGGAGAGTAAGACCTGGTAGTGGCCATGCGATGCGAGGAGTCAGGCAGAGCACGTGCGATGGGAGCGGCGCACCTCCTATGGACACACTGAGCGAGTCCTCGTGGCTGCTGGCGAACCCATCGATTGCATTCGCAAACGCCAGCTCTGCGTCCCTCGCCTCCACCATGCTGTCACTGCGCATATACCATGCCATGCCATGCCATGCCATGCCATGCCAGCATCACCGTCCCATCCCATGTCATGCCAAGCCATGGCCCATGCCGTACAGAGCATTGTATTGTGGTGTGTTGCCCATGATGGCAAGCCATGGCTACACATCCAGGCAGGGGAATGACGAGCCATTGGTGTTGTGTTAGACGGCAAAGGGTGGGGAAATGCAAAGACGGTGGTTTTGTGAGGCAGGTACACTGGCAAACCACAAGGACGGAAAGCGGCATTGGAACACGGAATGTCAGAGCATTGTAGTGAACCATGAATACATATGCGGATAAAATAGAGGGAGAGTAGCAGGGCAGCGAGTGTGAGGGCAAAACGTAGCACAGTGCGGGGTCCAGGCGGGCATGCATGGCAGGAGAGGCGGCACCTGTACTTGCGGCAGCTCTTGTGCAGCTTGTTGCACCGCTCCCGCAGCACCTCCGCGCTCTCCTCCAGCGCCTGCAGCTGCCCACGCCGAGCAGGGTCACGACGCACGGCGGCCATGGCGACCCGCGCGCGCGGACGGTGAGAGCGGATGGAGACGCGCGAGGTGACGCAGGGGTATGCGCGAGATTGGAGGCAACGATTGTGAAGACCGTGTTACGGAAAGGAAGGCACGCACAACGAGACTGACGGACAATGTGCAACGATAGGGACAATTGAACCACTGCGGAGCTCGAGAGTGTGGTAAGGTTATGAATTTCCAGATAAGCACCTATTGACAATGACACGAAGAGATGCCTCGGTGCACGGACCTGCCGGCGAAACATAGGAGAGTCATCGAGTCGCGCGAACAGCATGGTCGCGAGCAGATCCTGGTGTCAGGATGTAGAGGTTGTTGCGGAAACCGATCCGAAGAACTGAGTATTCTCTTATTGTGAGGGGAGAAGAGCGAAGGAGCGTAACGGGCACAGCAACAAGCCTGAACGGATTCGAATTGGGGCACCTGGACGAGTTCTCAGCAACTGCTGTTGGATTGTAGTGAGCGTGATTTGCGGCACAACATCAATTCTCGGATACAAGGGCTTCAGAAGATGTTAGTTGTGGACCTTCTTTCTCCTAGTCCTCGTTATGATAATCAGATTGACTATATCATGCAACTAATCTATATATACAAGGGGGGTTAGCTTCTTATCTTACCATGTCTTTTTAAGTCTCAAGCTTCTTTTGTTGTAGCAAAACACTAAATCTGGTCTAGCTTCTTGAAACATTCATCAGAAGTGAATATATCGTCCTGTCCCTCTCACTATCCACCTGCTTCGAAGACATTACGAATAGTAAAAGATGAAGCACTAATGTGCACTCCTAACCGCAGCAATCGAAGCACGCAGTACCGAGGCTGAAGACGAAAAGGCGGAAGTGAAGTACGGATACGGAGCAACTGGACCGTCAGGGCAGACAACATCAGGCAGCAGCAGTTGCGAGGATTCTGCCCTGACAGTTTCGCAACCGTCTGGAGTCGCACGGTTGTGTTTTGCTGTAATAAGGGAATGTACCCCTTAGAGTACATGGCTAGTGTCAGTAGAGTTGCAGTGTGAGATCCCGGAATGATCCTAGGGGGGTTACATGCATATTAGTCTGGGGGGTTATGGGCTCACTGACCCGCTACTGAAACAAGCCATTTTATCCCAATGGTCTAGTGGTTGGGATTCTGGCAGCTCGTATTCCAACCTGCACTCTTATTTATACCCTTGTATTTGCATGTTTTCAATCATCTCAAGCATTTTATATTCACTTTGCTTTTGAGGCCAAGGGCCCACCACCACTAATCAGCCGTGTGCGAATCCTGGGGAGATCATAGGGACGATCAACTTCTGGTCGCAGCATGGTATGAGAGCGACTCGGGAATCCTTCGCACTGCCACCTCCGAAAACTTCGGCGAACGGAAAGTGGCGTCCCGCACACGCTCGCGTGTAAGAATGGTTGGAGGATCTGGTGGTAAGACGAATCTGACGGCTGAAGCGCAACCCAATCCGGCTCCGACGAGCGAAGAAACGACGACGATTGGAACCGCCGTCCTCGCACAACTGCTTCAGCGACTCACCAGCTTGGAGCAAGGACTCCAAACATTGCGGAATGGCGATGCGGGAATTTCTTCCCAACCTTCTCAACCGGCCTCAACTGGCCATAATACCGCCCCGCACACCTTCACCCTCGACACAAATGGCTCAACTCCCAAGATCCCCTGTCCTAACGAAGAAGTAATTCTCTCTGCGCAATCAATGTTTTTTAGCATATCAAAAATATAGACAAGTGTGTGTTTTGACGGCAGAGACTTCTATACGTGGAGCTTCGAGCTAGAACTGCTGCAGCAAAACGCGCAGATAATCCACTACTTTGACGGGAGCTACTCCGGACTCGCTGAGGATACCGCCGACGCCAGAACAAGATAATACAACGAGTCCATGATGGCGTACAGCGTCCTCCTACGGAACATGTCGCCGGCGGAGCAGTTGAGCATTCGTTCGTACAAAATTTCACCTACTCCAGCCCTCGACGCTTGGCGCCACCTGAACGGCGTATACCAACCGAAAGATTCGGTTTCATCGAGCCGCCTGCTCCAGCAGCTACTGGAAAATAAAATGGCCTCAGGAGAGAAGGCCAACCGCTACATCAACCGCTGTCGGAGCTTACGCAATCAAATCGCGAAACTGGGAAGCACGATCTCCGATAAGATTTTCGTAAAGAGCGTGCTTCAAGGGCTCGGCCCAGAGTGGCGGCCCTATAAGGCGCTTCTCCGACAGCAGGGGGTCATCTCGGAAGACGCCCTATGCGCCGCCCTTCTCGTTGAACAAAGGGATATGGATCAGTAGCGACCAGCGCCGCGACGAGACCGGGAAAGCCTCGCCTTCTACGCCGACAATACGGAGGAGCAACGGTCGCGGCGCCTTTACTGCGAAATCTGCAAAATTTTTGGGCGGTTGGCAGATCGATGCCAATCCCGATCTCGCCTTCTTCAGACCAATCCGCGCACCTTGTGTGGCCGACAAGATGCACGGAACGACACGCGTCCAGCCCAGGGGTATCAACCCCCATCGCGCAACCTGAACCCAGCGGTGCAGCATCAGCAGCAGCAGCCGCCATAGACTTCCCCCGTCTGCAACGTCATGGGCAACATGACGATGACAAGTGGATCTCGTCGTCCCCGCGTGGGCTCACTATCACCTAAGCCGGCACGTCACCCAATCGGAGCGTTCTCGAACAACAATCTGTTCAGCACACGCCACGATTGAAGCGACAACGACAAACGGGACTGGAATCTCCCAGTCCCGCTGCTTGAAAGCCCCCCGCACGTACCTGATACGCGGTCGGCTTTGATCGAGTGGATCTTGCGTGAGCTATTTCTCAAGTTCGACACACCGCGCATCGTTACTCCGTGGTTGGTGCTTTCGCACGTAACGACAATAGGCGCTACAACACATGGTACCTGGATAGCTGTTGTGGGCAACATATGGTGGGCTCTGAGCGTTACATATCCAACGTCATCCCCACACCCGCTCTGACCTATGTCACCGTGGCGAACAATACACGCCTTCGCGCAAGCGCGCAAGGAATCGTGGTGCTCAAGGCTCGAGGGAGCAAGACGCACATCACGCTGAACGACGTGCTGATCGTGCAGAACTTGCGCTTTAATCTCCTCTCGGCGGCGCAACTCATGGATCGCGGAGTTGACCTCAGCACCGACCCCGGGACGCGCGACATCCTGCTTCACTACACCACGCCAAACAAAGCCCGCAAGCAGATCGGAAGAGCGCACTCCGAGAATAGAGTTTACATCCTCGACTTCGACAGTCCCGAATGCAGCGGCGATTTGCAGGAGCTTATTGACCTTGTCCCCCTGCGCTTCGAGCACATTCACCACTCGGATTGGAAGCATCCTGACGGACGACCATGGGTGCCGCATCACCCGCACCCACGTGAGTTGGCACTTCACGACCCTGACCCAGACGGCATCTGCAGAGATTGCCATACGCCCACATCCTCGACAAGCGCGATTGCTGGTCGTGGCCTTGCCGCCATCGCCGAAGCAGAGCGGGAAGCACCACCTGAAGAAGGAATGTCCAACCTGGAGCTCGAAATCGCAACGCGCGGCGTCTTCGAAACGGAAGAACATCACCTTCACGGACCAGCATCGCAAAATCTGCAGGTCATGCTGTGCGGCACTGGCGCCGGCACCTTAGATGCGCACGGCGTACCGCGACCTTACACAAAGGAGAAGTTCATGCAGATCTACTCTCACCAGCGCGACTCCGCGAAAAAACTTACCGTGGTGCAAGAAGAGGAGCTGGCGCGACGCGAGGCGGAAAAGCTTCGTCAGCAAAGTCTTGCGGAATCGCGTGGTACATTCGCTTGGTGCGGATGGGAAGAAGAACGAGAGCGCCTCCAATGAAGGGGGGTGGGGAAGCACTGGCGGATGGGGCACGAGCAACACTGGTGAATGGGGAGTAGCAACTGGTGGCAACATTAGCGGATAGGGCGCCACATCTGGCGGCGAGACAAGCGGATGGGGCGCTTCCGGCGAAGGCTGGGGAGCTTGCCGCGAGGACCAAAGGGGGGAAGGAGAAGAAGAATACGAGGCAGAACCTCATGTTGTTCCTCTTGGTTGCCCTCCGCGTCGCCTTGCTCCTATACTACCCCACCTGACATCCAGCCACATCTCGACCCTTGGGACACCATCGACTGGGGCAACAAGCCCTCTGCCCCGCGGCGTACCTTTTTCCCTGGAACTATCCTTGGGACCAACATTCCCCTCTCCACAATTCTCAGCAGGGAATTCCTTGCGCTGGTGCTGACCACGGCGAACGGCGACAAGGAAGAAGAAGATGCAGCTGACGCAGCAGCAGCAGAAGCTGCCCCAGTACCAGAGGAAGAACCTGACGCATTCCGCGCACGCTACATGCGCACCTCTGGATTCTTAGCCGACGATGCCCTCTGGCACCAGCGCCTCGGTCACCCCTCGCGCGTGACGCTGAAAAATTGCATCGAAGACGGCGTGTTTGCACCAGGAGCACTCTTGCGCCCTGATGGCTCTGAGGTGAGGAACACCTCGCAACCGCGCAATTGCACCATCTGCCCCGAAGCTGCGCTGAGCCACCAGCCGTTCCCCCTGCTAGAGCCCCGGAACCAACCGCTACGCCAAACTGGAGAAGGTGTACATTGACTTCCTCAACGTGGGACATTGTGGAATCAACGACGAGCTATACACGCTCACCTTCATCGATGCTGGAACACGCTATGTCTGGATCGTGAACGTGGAGGCGCGCAGCAGAGCATACGAAGTGTTCCGCCTCTGGCTGGCGCACGCGCAGCGGCAATCTGGGGAGAAGCTGAAAATCTGGTAGTTTGACGGCGCAGCAGAGTTCAGGAGCAAGGAGCTGCAGAATTACCTGGCGCAGAAGGGAATTGAACGTCACGTCTCCCTTCCCTACGCGCACCAGCAGCAAGGCGTGGCTGAGCGTATGAATCGCACGCTCATGGTGGAGGTGCGGGCACTGATGAAGCAA